TGGTTGTGTGTGTGTGTGTTTGTGTGTGTGTGTGTTCGTGTGTTTGTGTGCTTGTGTTTGTGTGAGTGTGTGTGTGTGTGTGTGTTCGCGTGTTTGTGTTTGTGTGTCTGTCTGTGTGTGTGTGTGTGTGTCTGTGTGTCTGTGTGTTAGGTTTTTTGTCCGAAGGCCTAGGTAGGCCATAGACTTGAGGACAGAGACTGCGCTGATCACTAGTTTGTCATCCAAACCCTCGGAAACAAAGGCTAGTCTCAGGCAGTCTCCAAGGTCAGCTTAACTACCCGAAAGACAGCCATTGGACAACGGCTTCCTATCGCAAGCACCCCGAACTGCATCATGGCCCCCCCCACCTGCCAGCTTGGGCCAGCCCTGCGATGGAGAGAGCCTAGGTGCAGTGGTCATTGCGGCCGTGGGCCTGTGGCAGGCATTGCGTCGTCGGGGATGCGCAGATGTTGACATGATAGCTGTACGTCCGCTCGCAGTAGTTGTCTCAGGGAGCCCACTGCTCTGGATTCGAGAAATCGTTGCAGGAATCGATTTGGGAGCCCGTCCGTCAGCAGGGGGCGGCAGTCGAAAGCCGAGTTTTCCCCATCCCACGGCTCCAGGCCCCCACGGACGGATTCGAGGAAAAGCCACGAGCTTGGGACCTTGGCCACAAGATATCCCCAGGCTACCCGGCCCAGCAGGTGAAGGCAGCAGTCGTTTCAAAGCAACCGCAGACGCAGGCACATGTGCCCGAGAACTGGATACGTGGCATGGAGCATACCATCGGCTACGAGGACCCGGTTTCGCTCGACTTTGCCGAAACCGCTTGTGACTCGATCATTCGCTCTCAGGCCCGAGCCTCAATGCTTGCAGGACCTCAATGCCCCAGATTTGGAGCCGAAAAAGCACTCAAACATAAACTTGTGGGTGGGTCTCCCTACCTTATTGCTTTGTCAAAATTTCAAGGATGGCTTTTGTTTAGGTGTCTTTTCGGGTTCCTACCAAGTGTCTTCTGTATACAGCGCACTTCACAGCCGACCAAACGGCTCGACAATCCACCCCGTAGCCGAGTGGTTCCACGAATAACAGGAGGAGGAGCAGGAAGGAAGCCGACCTACTGCAGCCAGCCCCCTGCGAGTGCGGAACCATGTCCTAAGACACCGGAGCATGCGTCAGAGATCGTCGGCATGGGAAAGCTCACGATCGATTTCTATCAAGGCAAAAGCAGCCAAAGCTCGCATGCGTGCCGGAACAAAGCCTATCGCCTGCCTTGCGGGATTTCGAGGCTGGCCGGCAGGTCAAGAACAGCAACCCGTGTGTACACCTATTCTGAAGTGGACCGAGTCTTTGGAAGCTCCCTGCCTTTGAGAGGAGTTAGCACCCTGGCCTGGTGCCGCCGCCTTCGACCGGCTCTCGGTGCTCATACTGGGCAACGGTGCCCTTCTGGCAATTTTGCTCGGGCTCTCGGAGACAAAACGGATGGACGGATGCCGACCCCATATGTTTAAAGGAGAGCGTCAATGTGCTTCTCTTTTACCGACTCCGCAACCTTAACTTGGTCCCCAAACTTCAGGGAATGGAGCCTTCGAAACCAGCGACGCCGTCCGGAACTTCGCTGCAGCTCGGGTGAAAGATGCTCCCACCATATGCCACCGCTACATTCACATGGCATTCGGTCACTTTGGTTCGGTAGTGCAAATCAGCTGCCCAAACTCTTATTCCTCGTAATGGCAAGAGTTGACTTTGCACTGGACAGAGAGGCCATAAAATGCACAAGGTCGTTCGCCAGCCTCGCAGTTATGGTATCAAGGTTGCCATGTAGGTTCCAACAGAAACCAACATAACAAAAAGAAGACAGAATCGTTCTGTATACGGGTGGTAACTACAAGGTAGACTCTGAATGATAGTCATAAACCTGGCGGAAGCCGGATCGAGAATCGGAACAGCCATAGGAGCAGCACGAACAGCCCTACTCGACTGGCAGGATTCAGCATATTGGCCGAGATGCTTCCGCCCACATACTGGAGGGATTCAGGATCATGGCGAAAACCTGTACTGGCGGGGTTCAGAGACATGACCAACATGCTTGGCGGATTCAGACACTTCGAGGCTAAAACCCCTGCAAGTACTGGCGGGATTCAGGCCAAAATCAAAGCAGCACTACACACGCCGCGACGGTTGTCATTTCGAGTCTAGTGTGTTGCATTGGAATTTAAAATGTATCGCGGTTATCGGAGGACGTGGAGACGCCAATTGTTGGAATTTGAGGCCAATAGAGCTTACCGGAGGACGTAGACGCCCTGTCCACCCAGAGGGCTGTCATATTTTGTGGACCACCGTGAGAGGACACGGAGACACCGGCAGCACCGAGAGGGTTGTCAATTCCGGGCATGAATCGTGGCTGCACTGCATGTGCAGCGATTTCTTGCACGATCATCGAAGCAGCACCATTTTTCGATGAATGGCTCCGCTTGGTCTGCCCAGTGTGTTAGGAGATAGTCTACGAATTTGAGTAAGAGATAAGAGGCAACCTCACGAAAACCGAAAGTCAAACCTCTCGAAGACCTCTCATCATGCCAGGGAACCCCATGACAATTTGAGTGACACAACCTACACCGACCTAACAGGCAAATATCTCGATTACCTCACATGACGCTTTGCAACCCTACGAGAACCTAAGAGACAACCTCGCAACGACATCATCACATCATGCCATCCAAACCACCTTCACGGACGGACACCCGTTGCCACACTTTCCTGAGCACTCGACTTTCACAGCAGCAGCAGCAGCAGCAGCAGCAGCAGCAACAGCGTCGGCCAAACAGATTTCTTTCGAGCAAGTGCGGCACCAAGACGAGCAGTAGTAGCAGCAGAGGTCCGGGAGTAGAAAGCCGAGAGCCAGGAATGATGACAGACTGTCATCTATGCTGACCTAATCTGACCGACTTTGACTAAACTTGACTAAACTCACTGAGTCCAAGGTAACCCAAAGACCCTACTTAACCCTACACCCAAAAACCCACCCTCAAACCCCACATCCACAATCCCAGATGAGGCAGACATCGGAATCCTGGGCCGCCGAGAGGCCGATATGGGCCCGCGTCAGAGTGTCAGACTCGTCAGACTATTGACAATATCATTAAAACCACGTCAAAGCTTGCAGTGAGACTGAGAATAGAGACAGGTAACAGCGAAAGTGGCAATAAGTGCATAAGACTAGACGCAGCCACAGCGGACTAGAAGCCAAAATGATGCGGTCATCATATTACTCACTGTCAGTTCGATCGTAGTAGTAGGACGCTTCGAGGCCCAGCACTTGGCTGTTGGCGCCAGGTGAAGGTAGAGCAGGCTGCAGCATCCCCCGAGATAGACAGAAAAGACTTGAACCAGATCCTAGCTCAGCGGCCACGCACCGTGTTGACGGTAGGCCCCCATCAAGCCTGGAATGACAGCCTTCTGATGGCGGGTGTACGATGGCGCCTGTGAAGGAACGCTTCGCTCACGAGTCAAATTATGTGGGGGATGTGCGCGCAGCACGGCTGACGTCGCTGGATTCACTTCACCTGAGCCTTGGCCATCAATGATGTGCGATGCCATACTTCACTGTGTCGGCTCTTCACAAAGGCATCTGCATCGGCATCAGTCATACTTATAGATTTCGGGCGGACACTGTAACGGGCGGGCAAGTTGATCATCGTAGGCTGCGGATGCCATGAGGATGATGACAACAAGGTCCAAGTTGACTGAGTTGTACAAGTGCAGCTTGAGGCTTCCACATGGACCTTGGGGTCAGCGTTCCCAGAACTGATGCCTCCCAGCGAGGAAATCTCTCGACGACGTCTTTGCGCTCGTGCCAGCATCAGGTCGCTATATTCTGCATCCATCAACCGGCTTGCAAAGCGTGACCGAGACATGGTATCCCTTGCTCCCCTGGCAGCAGCGTCCTGAGCAGGGCAAAGTCGCCCAAGCGCCGGGCCGAAGTGCTCTACCACCCTAAACTCTAAACCCCTCCTTCGCAGCTAGGAAGCAGGAAGGCCAGGCCTTCCCCCAGCCTGCTCGCGTTTGCTCACGGATCGCCGCACGACCTTGGCGGAGGTCGGCTCCTGGAGCTGCTGCCCTGTGCAAGTGCGGGCCCAGGCCAGGCGAAAGCTCAAGGAAACCCCAGGCCCCAGGCCTGTCGTCTTACAAAGATCCCTACAGTGCAGGGCTAGTTCGGGTCTCTCCGTTCCGGCTTGATTTCCGCAGGTCCGAGGATCTTTCGCAGGAGCTTCTGCAATGTAAAGAGACTTCAATAGTTCCCCGGAGGTTGCCGGGGCTGGGACCGATGCACCGAAAATCAGATTAGGGCAAGTTGGGTTTCGGCAATGCAGCCCAATTCGAGACGAGGCACTGGCGAGGCCGGGAACGGCTGGCCTGCACTTGGGCTGCGCTTCAGCTCTTTAGGCTTGGCTTCGGTGTGGAATTTGGCGCACAAGCTTCTGTTTGGAAGTAAGCTTGGGGGCTGGACAGGGTGTCCCCCTTGCCCCTCTTCGTCCATGTCAATCCAAGGAGAACGCCTTCGACACCGAGCTGCAAGGCTTCCGGGGCCGGCCGCCCGTCTGTGCATTGCCGGACAACAGCAAGAAGGAGTTTTTGCCGCTCGCCTGCTTGCGCCTGCTGAAAAAGTTGTGCGGTGTCTTATCGGATTCTTGGAAGCTTCATCTACGTGAAGCGCAGCTTGGTGCTGGAGAAATGATGGCCTGGGGCTCGCACTCGTTCCCACTTGTGCATCTGGCAAACGTATCATCTGTCCAAGATTTACTGAATTTGTATTACATGGTTACCCGACCGCGCACTCAGGCGTAAGGTTAGGATGCGTTCGTCTGGAGCCTTCATTCGAGCTCCGCAGAACGGAGCAAACCCTTGCTCGCCTTTAGGACATGCGAAAAAAACTCATCGGCGGGACGACTCCCCAAGCCTCCAAGGCCTGCAGTCAGAATAACACTCGACAAAAAGTGAACTTCGTCTTGTAGATGGTGATTTCACGGGCAGTGGCCTTGCGGTCTGACCCTAGAGCTCCCAGGCTGGCAGATCACGATCCGGAATCCAAGCTGCAAAGAACAGAGCTAGACGACGGCGACGGTTCACGCAAGAGACGAGGGTGGCGATCTGATGCCAAGGGTCCTAAGAACCATTCCAAGGAGAACCCAGCAGTGCAGGAGGCGCTTGCCAGATGGGCGGAGCACATTCATGTACGTAACTTGGCTGCTGTAGCTTTCTGGTCTGGTCAAGTAATAACGGCACCGAGGCGTAAGTGAGTTCGGAGACTGTAAGACTCCATCTTTACGAGCTCCTGAGCCCAAACGATGTTGTGTGGCTGGCGCACATGCGAGAGTCATGCGTGGTTGGTTATCATAGGCCCTGAGCGATCGAGATGTCAAGGCCAGCGCCATTTACAATGCTCCCGTGTTTCGAGGCCCAGGCTTCAATGTCGAAAGGCCTCGGTGTGGACTCAGTCTCAGGTGAAGCTAAGGTCTTCCTGTCAGGGTGCTATTGAACCGGTTCCTGGCTGGGTCAGTTTGCAGATGTTTGCAGCCTGCAACGCGGTTCTTGGACTACGCTAGCTGGTGCACGCCGCTGTCCCGATCGACTCAACAGCGGCTCCGGCCGACCTAGTGTCTTCGCCTTTTTCCGACTTAGCCGATGCCCACCGTTTCTGCAGATAGGATTTTTGCTTCACTCCGGAAAATCGTCTCGTTTCGCCTCCAACTTCCATCGGAGAGTCTGCGAGTGGCATAGGAGGGGAAGCTCCGGTTCCGAATACAACAGCAGTTAGAGACGTCGAAGGAGCAAGATATGCGCTGAGCTTGCCGACCGATCGCACTCCAGTGAGAAATTCGCTGCAAGCTTTCTCCGGCTCCAAAGCTCTAGAACACCTTACGCCGAATTCACCGTTCGGCACTGTTCTCGTGAGCAAGGGTGTTCTAAAGACTTGTGACCCCAGGTTTCCCGCTGACCTTGGACACATTCATACTCTCACTTCGAAGCCATTGTAGTAGATTGTAGTTTGATGCCAACTGTCAGGCAATGGCAGTGCCGTGTACAGGTCGCACTTCAAGAAGGCGCGACGTCGTTCTGCTTCGTTTGTTTCCGGGTCGGAGGGGTGGGGGTGGGAGCCGAATCCTCTGGCTCATTAGCTTTGAGGCCAACGTATTCTGCGTTCAACATGGTCTGTCGGGAGCGTTTCCCCTCGAGTGTCTGCATGAAGTTGGCGGACGGTAGCTCTCTTTGCAGCAACAAAGACTGCCAACTACTGCTCGAAGTATCGGTCGAACATCAGTCATCAGTCATTTTGCAACATCCTTCATATGTTCGGTTCTCAGCAGCGGTCAGTTTGTCGTGGATCCAGCTGTGGTTGATGAGTTTTTTCCATGCTGCTAGGATAGCAGGTAGTGATCAGGGTTCAGGCTTTAGAGTTTATGGTCTCGCCTGGCTTTGGGGATTGGCGATAAGCGGTGCGATTTTGTCCAATCCACCCCGAGAGTTAGAGACCTGACAGGCTCTGAAGCAGCTCGGCAAACAGGCAGCTGGGGCAAGCATGGAACCTCTAGATCAGATACGTTCAGCTAGGTTGGTCTTGAGTCTGAGGCAAAGACTTCCAGTCAAAGGATAGCTGTCTGGCAGGAAGAGAGCAGAAGAGGGGTTAGGCATGAGCGTGTTACAATGGGCATTCAAGTCGCTTCCATGGTTCGATGCCTGCTGGCACTTGACTTGGCGGCTCTCGCAGCGTTCTACCATTCTATCGGCTACTTAGAGGATCTTTCGTCAGCAACAGCACCGTACACATCTGTCCGTTGAGAAGAGTCCGAGTAATGGTTCGGCAGTTTTGTTCAGTGTTGACATCAGAAGCTTGTCTTCATGACAGCCCAGCCTTCGAATCCCAGCACCGAAACCCTCAAGACGGAGGCAAAGCATGCCGTCCCCGGCATTGACGACGTGATCGCCGGGCGCACCCAGGTGCCACTTGGCCTCGCCCACTTCCTGGCAGGATTCAGAGACAGGACCAACACCGTCCGGTTCATGTACTCTAGCGCCGCATCTGCAAGACTGTGCCATGCAAGGGAGACAACTCATAGGACTGCGCGATAGTTCCGCGAAGCAAGGCTGACCATCAACAAATCTGTTGCGAGGCGCCTTGCCAAGGAGCGACGCAGGGCTCCGTTGGGGACGTCCGGAAGCGTTGGATTGGAGTTTGGCATTCGTGGTTTAGGTGGTCTGGTTCTACCCTAGTGAGAGGTCTCTCTCGAGCCAGCGTGAAGGCATATCGTGGGCGTGCAGCCAGGCAGGAAGAGCTCCAGAACCAACGCCTTCCTGGAGTAGCAGCCACGACCGGCCTTCTACCGGCCCTCTCCGGTCCGAAGCCATAAATCGACCGGAGGCTGTTTGCCAGCGGTCACTCGTCAGACCTTTAACTCGCAAGGAGGGTTCACTTATTTCCGGCCGGGAATCATGTAGCCTGCTGTGAACCCGAAACGAGCTCTTAAGTGTGCAATGTGAGAGCGAAGCCCTATAAGCGACAAGATTCCTGATCTGAGCTCCCAGGAGTCCGCTGAGTTTCGCTCGGCGCTGCCGGCACTGATGGCGAGCACACAGGGCCTCTATGTGGACCGCTGCAGGGTCCAGGGCGCGGACGTGGTTTAGAAGGCATGGTTTGAAAACATTAACAACAAGCGGAAGGCTACAGGCTTGACTACATCTTCTCGGGTCTCCTCAATGTTTTGGAAGACTAGGCTGAAGATTGGCTTCAGATCCTCGCAGGCCTGGTGCGACGAAGGGTCATGTCCGAATTCAAGTCAACTGTCTCGGCTTGTCTTGGAGGGATTCAGCGCAAGGAGCACGACCGCTTTCGGAAGCCCTTCGACGTCGTCATCCGGGCCTTGGATCTTCGGCAGCAATGGAGGCAGAGGCGGTCAGACAGACACCTGAAAGCATCAATCGAAGCGAGTCCGTGCAAAACGATGAAGGCCTAAGACATAGAAGAAGGACAGCTGGCGGCTTGTGACCTTGTGCCTTTTTCGCGGATCCCTCCGGTTTGCTCGTCATTCGTGTCATTCTTCGCCAAATCATTCTGAGAGTCTTTGTTTGGGACCATTTGAACTTGGACGTTGTTATGTAGGGATGCTCGAGTTTAGGCCTGTTCTAAAAATGGCCCCTGCATTCTTCGGACTGCAGGGCTGGAGGATGGAGCCGGAGCCCTTCCAGGCCCGGCCCTGTCCTTGGTGACTTTGTGACTTTGCGGCTTAGGATCTGTTGCTGAGCTGGCAGTTTCAGGCGGCTTTGGGACTGAGTGTTGGTGTCAAGGAACAGCAGAGAGGAAGACGCCTGAAGCTGCTGCTCCGGCGTAAACATTGGCCGTTCTGTGCGTCTGACTTTATGGCCGCGATTCCGGCCAACTGTGCCTGTGTGTGTGTGTGTGACTGCGGCTTCCGTGCAGGAGCTGAATGTGCAACTGGATGCCGACAGGAGCCACGGCAGAAAGCTTCGAGTTGGAGGGGCGCTTTGGGTCCTGAGTCTTAGCAGGTCAGTTCACTTGAGTGGGGTCTCCTGATGCTGATCTTGCTGGCGACGGATGCAGCAAACAAGACGGACGACTGGTGACAAGATGATACTCGACCCCACGAGGTCCTTTCCGTGAGCTGACTTATGCACCTCCAACCCCACAACCAAAGAATTTCAAAGCAGGGCTAACCGGAAAGACGAGAGACCAGTGACCGGGGGACAGCTTGAGTTGCTGCTTTCGGAGGAAGTACCCGGAAGTGGATGCCTGCTTTGAGTCGACAGAGCCCGGCCTGTACTTTGCAGGCATTGCCCGCCTTTGGAATGTTTGGCAGCTTACTGTAGGTGTGTTTCCCCTGGTTGCGCGAAGCCTGAGAGGAGAGTCGAAAAAAGGCATCGTCTCCCAAGTCAGGCACTGTTACACACGGCTTCGACAAGAAGCGGTTCGGCAGTGCGGGTGGCTTCATCCACGGCTTCCGCTACACAGCCTCGAAGCAGCATCTTTCCCGTGCATTGGGCTTCTCGTTGATGTGAAAAGCAGTTGCATGTCTTGACGTCGATTGAGGGGGCGTGCAGTGTCATGACTGCGATTACATTGCGACGGTGTGTTTGATCCTCCACTGAGTGGCCGTTGCTTGTTCCGTCTTTTTCCTCGTAGTTGAGACTGGGAGATTTGCAGATGAAAGTTACATCATCGTGCAAGCATTTAAAGGCTGGAGATCACGCAAGCCTTTCAAGGCTCAGCTCATGCCACACAACACTTTTCGGCCTCTGTTGCCAGCCTTGGAACAATTGGGCTGGCGGCTATGCGTGTGCGGGGCAGAAGCCCTAGGCACTTCAAGTTGCAACCCCGCATCCTCCTGAATTAGGCGAAGACGCTGTTTCGCTGCCTGATGCACCAGTTCGAAGGAAGGCGGGACAATGTGGGCCCGAGCTTGCCGACTGAAAGCTCTGGAGAGCAGCACTTCCCAACTTCACACAAAACCAAGTGAACTTCACGTAGCTCTTTCAAGGTTCAGGCTTCCAAGTCGCAAGTGTGGGTTTTCTGGGAAAAATCCACACTTGCAACAGCGCTCAAAAGCTCGGCTGGTGCGGTGTAAGACGGTTCGGGCGAGGCAAGGCCCGAAGCCCTAGCCATCGAGGTCTGGTATCAGGTCGACCTACATAGTCTAGGAAGTCTCAACCCTAACGAAGCGATGCACAACCCTGAAGGCCTTTCTGGCATGATAGCCAACACCACTACGACTGGCCTGGCACGGGTGCCGAAGCCACTGCTTGTGAGGCATGGGAGCTTGGAAACCCATGGGTTCAGGAGAGGGGTAGGGCTGCGTGGTAAGATGAGCGCTGGGCATTCCTTACTGCCAGAGGAGAGGGCAAGAGGTTTTGGAGGGGTGCGAGTCATTGACAGTCCTTGCTTCCTAGGGCTGCCCATGACGACTTGGCAAAGCGGGGTTTCTGCACGGTGTGCCGGTGATTGGATGAAGGGATTGTGACCTGACGTCCCAATGCCCAGGCTCAAACTCAGTGAAGACGTGCTCAAGTTTCGCCTCGCATAGCTTAGCCTAAACCCGGCTCTGAGATGCTAAAGACCTCGAAACACAACCCAGGCCCGATTAGACCTCACAGAGTCCTTTTACCTGGAAGCTGGGAGGTCGGTCAAGAGCCGGCAGCTACAGGGACCAAGAGCATCCAGCGGCTCCGCAGGATTGTGTGTGTGGGCTGCCAGGGGACGGAAGAGTCACTCCGCCGAAAGCTGATGAGGGAAGTTTTGATTCTTCAGAAGCGCACAGTAAAGCTCTCTTTTGCAGAGGTGGAACGAAGGGGTGAAGCTCGAAGCCTGTCTTTCGCCATCCGACTTGAGATGGGAGGAAGCTTTCAGCACGTTCTGTGGCGAGCTCTTGTGAGAGCCCGCAGGGATTGACACTTTTTGTCGCGTGAGGAGCCTGGAGACGACTCCGCACTGGAATCGGCTGCTCACGCGGCTCAACGAAGCATCCGGGCCCTACCAGATGTCCTGCGGGGCCCTGGTGGCTTTGCCAGCACTCCTCTGTGTGCCTCATACTTCGTTGATGGTCCGCCGAGACGCAGAGACTTCTCGGGGACCGTAACCAGGTGGTAGGCTGCTGTAAACTTTGATCCAGGGATCAAGCAAGCCTTACAGTCTTTCAGAAACACACGATGCATCGTCTGCAGGTGGATGGGCTGGTCTACGATCGGCAGCAGCTGCGGGTCACGTATCTTGTTCGCCTGCAGATTGGAAGTCCGCTTATGGAGGTGCCAGGGCCGAAGACCGCAGTGGTTGGCGAGGAGAAGCCCCAACACTCTCTTGTCCTGAACAGATCCTGAAGGGTTTGTCAAACCTTGATCAGACGCGTGTTTGCAGTGACCCGAGAAGTGTACGGCGGGTTTCGGAGGAAGGCTTCGGAGGTAAGAAGGCTGTAGAAGAGAGATGCCACGAAGAGTCCGAGTAGATGGGCTGTATTCGGCGTTCTTGACGTGTACGCCTGCTGTGCACTGTATAGTGCTCATACCAGCCAGCAATGTCGAGCTTGACGCAGTGTATTGCATTGCTTAGGTACTACCAGGACATCCCCATGGACCTGTTTGAGGCAGCTGCTGCCATGGCGGTGAATTTTGGGTTTGCTGTAGAATGAAGGCATCAAGCTACGCCCCCGACATGCGCCTGCGAAGAGATCGCAAGATGCCATGAAACGGCTGGCCCACAAACTAAACGCCGGGAGTTGCCCTGAGGCTTGGGAGGGTCAGGATGCTGTGTGCAGCGGGCGGCACAGGCGGAGTTCCGGCAATACCCTCGCCTGTACTTCCAGTTCCGCTACGGCAAAAGCAGCTACCTGCAACGGTCAGGCGCGGCTGTGACCAGTAGGTGAGGCTTCGGAAACAGGCATGAGACAAGCACTAAGATTTCACCCTACTCAATCTGCCATCCCCTCGAGCTGGCAGCCCCATGCTGTCATCTCGAATCTGAAGATACAGCCCAAGAGCTTCAAAGCACCGAGTGCTCTGCTACTTGAAGCTGCCTCGTGTGTGAGTTCGAGCTCCAGTGGACATGAAAGACCAATAGCTGCGAAGCTTCCTCCCCGGTCGATCCTAGTCTGCCATCACATTCAGAGCCGCATTTCAAGCAAATAGAGTGAAGTCTCCAGAGACAAAGCCAAAGCCGCTCGGAGTAGGAGGCGCAGTAGTTGCAGATCGCGGGGTTCTCCCTCTAATACGATTCGATAATACGATGTTTCAAGATAGCAAGGGCGCCTTCCGCACGTTTGATCGCAGACTTTTTGCGAACCCGGCTGGTGGCGCACAAGTCGTCCTTCCTCCATCCGGTGCTCTTCTATTTGCAACTCGGCTCGGCGGCTGGAGGCAGCCCATATATAATATAAGAGAATATGTAGTATGTAACACATATATTTAGTATATAATATAGTATATAGTATATACTATCCGGCCGATGCACAGTGCACTCCATCTTCCTCCACTCGACATCCGACTTTGCACCCTGACAGGCTCATGTGGAGTTTGACTTTGATGTGCAGTCGTAAGAGCGGTGGATGTTGGTTTCAGACCAAGTTGATCACCTGGACCGACTGTCGTCTCTTTGTCCCCAAGCGCCCCAGCCCAGATCCTTGCGCCCAAAAGTCCCACATCCACAAGCACGTGCCATGCCCACCTAAGCCAAATCCCCGCGGCCTGAACGATTTTTTGCGCCGATCCCCACAAAGATTCCAGGATGCCGAACAAGAGCGCGGAGAATCCCAGCCATTCCTCGCGCTTGCACTTAGTCGAGGAGCGCAGCGGCTTGACAATGCCCCACCTTTCTTGCCAGAAAAAGCAGTCTTTTCTTTGACCAGCATACTACTGTACTGGCTCATGGGATTATAAGGTTTCATTATTATGACAGTTGGAGTACATGAGCCATCTTGCCACGTATTCTTGACAAGCCAAAGTGAGCTGGCTCGCTACTGCCAGGATCGGTGGACTGACTGGGCTGGTCGCGAAGAGGTGCAGGGGTCCTGGGAACTTGGAGCGCTAAAACAAAATCCGACCAAAAAAGCTATCCGGCGCGCTCCACATGTGTGTGCGTGCGCGAGCAAGTGCGTGTGCGTGGACGGGTGTGCCGGAAGAACTCAGAGGCTGTGTTTGTTTGTCCATGGCGGGCTGCTCAGATTTGGTAAGTAGCAGACAAACCTGGAGGCATCTTGCAGGTAGGAAAGTGCCGGAAAACTGCAGAAATTAGAGAAGACGGACCTTCGCTGAGGACGAAACCGTGTAGGACTTCGGCATGCACCTGCGGTGCACAGGTATTGGCAGTCCATAACTTCTTGTCCGAGGTGGAAAAATCCATTTGGCAGGACGCGGCACGGAGATTTGAGTTGGAGGGCTCGGAGTTGGGGTTGCAGCTCGGGTTGCAGCTACTGTCAAAAGTGAAAGAACGCCAGAGAATAAAACAAGTTGCAATCGGTCCCACCTGCAGAAAGCCATGAGCGCGTGACGCTCCGACCCGAAAAGTCTTCTGCGATTTCGTGCAGGGGTTTTAGCACTGTGATAAATGAGTGATTCTGTAATTCTGTATGAATGCTCGGTTTGCAAGCAAAAGTGATAGTCGGAGCATGTCATCATGTTTCTAGAAATTCACTGCGCCTCCCATGCAGGGCGCATCCAGCGGCCAGAAGTAAAGCAATTAGTGATCACTAGTGCTCATCCTGACCGTCTTCTTAAAGGTTGATTCTGTGGCTTCCCAGGGCTCATAGATCCATTGGCCCTGCTGCTGCGATTGTGTGTTGGGTCGGTCTCCAGGATGTGAAGCTACCGAAGTTCCACGAAGGCACGGCCGTGATTCTTTGGTAGTTGGTTGAGATGGCAGACCTCGAAGTTATTCTAGTCCCCAGAACCTCGGGCGAGATAGTAGAGAGCGACAGCTAGACGGTACAAAGCAAGTTGGCTGCTTGTCGAGAAATGGATGAGTTGGAGCCAGCAACAGCAAATCTCGGCCGTTGCAGGCATCGACAATCTCAACCTCACATGCAACCATTTCGAATCCGCAGAGGACGAGGAAGAAGAAGATTACGAGAAGTAGCAGGCGATGGGGGTTCTATCAGTCTGGCAAGATTTGTCTCTCTTCCTGATGTCTCCGGGTCTCCCCTCATGTTTTGGTATGCAGTTTGCTTAACTAACCTGTCGTTTCGTCATACCCATCCCGGGAGCTGCGTGGAGAGAGCTACACGGCGGCTCAAGCCGCTGTCTCACTTTGGAGCAATGACCGCATTCTTGTCGCTTGTGGTCGTCTTGCGCCTTGTCCCCGTCACTGGCTACAAGGTGGTTCCCAATGAAGCGCAGAAGCCCAGCATCTGCAGCCCTCAATTAGGGCCAACGCCGTGCGAAAAGATCCTGCAGCAGGTCACGTGTGAGACGACCTGGTCGGCTGGCTGCCCGGGGATCGATCACCCCCTTGGGAGCGGCGCACAACCAGGAGACGTTCGGGTTCGGGTCGCACTGTGCTGAAAAGTGCACCACCAAGGTTCCGCTTTCCGACCTGGACTTCGAAGACCCGAAGCTCGAGACCGCGAGGCAGCAGACGAAGTGTTTCTTGGACATGATCGACAAGGCAGAGCAGGCCGGCGACACGAAGGCTGTCGAGACACTGACAACGCTCATGCTCGGCGAGGCCGACCATCTGACGCCGCTCAGGTAGCGACCCTTGACGAGCACTGCAAACGGAGACCATGAACTCTCAGATTCTCGCCGCCAAAGAGGTCGCCGCGCAATGGGCCCAAGAAGCTTTGGAAAAGGACACTGCAACGGTAATGGATGCGACCGAAATTACAGACGAAGTCATCCAGGCTTACACAGAGGCGCTGGAGCAGGTGGCTGCGACATGCGGGGAGATTGAGGCCGAAACCATCGCCACGGATGTGGAGGCCCTGCTCAAGCAGGCGCAGTTGCACCAGCGCAAGACCGAGCATGAGATGGACCAGATCGAGCATGAAGAGTTCAAGATGGACAAGAAGTGCAGGCCAGAGAATATCAACATCGACTACTTTGTCAACAGGCTGAAGGTGAAGTATGGATCTGCTGCTTGTGGCAGCTCCCTGCTGCAGACTGCGCACCAGGATGTGGCAGATCGGCTGTCGATTACGCTTAATCGCCACGCCCTGCACTGGCCAATGGATCCAACGGGCTGGCCCAAATCAAGGCTAGGGAGGAGGCTGCCGAAGAGGCCGAGGAAGAGGCCGCCATGGAGGAGTTTGAGGGTTCTGAGGGTGCCCTCATTGACAGCTCTGCCCGGGGCTATCACAACTACACTGGCTTCAGCCTAGGTCCATGTAGCACGGCGCCGGTCCAGGGGAAGATCTGCATTGGGGCAAATTGCCTCATCTTTCCTCCTCCAGCAAATCTTAACACGAAGGACGGCTTGTATGCGCAGGCCAAGAGTGCCGTCGGTATCTTCGCCTGGTGGAGGAACCTTTTTGGCCTGCAAAACTACAAAAAGAAGCTGCGTGAAGTTCCGTGCCGACATGATCACCTGCATTTGCGTGAAGCCGGCAGACCCGCTCAAGTTAAAGTTCAGCCTTGGTGCGGCAATCAAGGACTGTGGCCAAGGCCTGGATGGAGCCATTGCCACGTTCAGCGTGAACTTGAAGCTTCTCTTGTGCCTGGGCATCCCCGGCCTCGCTCACCCGCTGCAGCTGATCAACGCCGATTGCATGGACCTGGCAGGCGTGAAGTATTTTCCCTTCATTGGCAGGCTGACGGTTGGAGATGTCACGAACTTCGGCGAATATTGGCTCACAGGGGAGGCCCGGTTCAAATTCAACTTCAACTTTGTCGTCCACGATCTAACCAAAGCCGTGACCGAGTATTGCAACGTCAAGCACATTTCCCGGTCTGACTGGGCATGGCATTGGATCTACATGGCCTCTTCGAAGAGCCACGACGAGATATGCCGTATCTTCCCCAAGTGTCCATCCTGCTATGTGAGCAAGAAGGAGCAGGAGTGCGTCGACTGGTTCGATGACCAGCGCGTGGCACGTAAGGAGCTCAAGGTCGTCATTGACGAAATGTACCACGAGGCATATGACTGCTGGTGGGACTGTGCTCCTACAGGTACAAGTGGAGGAACGACGCGACTTACAATTGGAACGTCCGCTGAGCTCCCTTGAAGGTCGCGCCACCAGCAAGATTCGATCTCTGGTGGGACAAAAGGAAAGGTGCGATTTTGTTGCTGCTGCCGCTGCTGATGTTTGCTATTGCTACTGCCGCTGCTTCTACCGCTGCCACTGTCACTGCAACTGCTACTGCGGAAGTGAGTGCTAGTATTGGTAGTGGTCAGGTTCGATTCTCGCCGTGAGCAATTGGTTTCTGAAACGGAGCTCCCGTCTTTGTGAACTTCAGACTTCAGTGTCCATCCATTCCCATTGGGTTTGTTTTGACGTGTGGCAACAAGAGACGTTGGTAATTCCTTGATCCAGTACTTGCATGCATAGAATGAGAAATTGATCTTACATGAAGTTCGGATTTTTTCGAAGCGATCTTCAAGGGATGGATCCGTATGTATAAAGAATCCGAACTGAGGTTCATGCGATCGAGGCGAGTTCCAAAGTTGGAAAGCGAACATCCGTCGCGAAGATATGATGCGTAGAAAGGTTGGCAGTCCTCGGAGATCGAAATTCGAAATGAAGATTATTGAAGATTCATTGGCAGGGCAAGGCTCTTTTTCTTGGCAATTCATTATTTATTTAAATAGAATTTTGGGAAGCCTTAGAGATATTTTTCTCGGCTTGGAATTTCTGAATTTATATATTGATTTATTCATTCTAATAATCTTATAATAATAGATGACATATATGGGAGTTTTCTATAATTGAATTTGGTATAGGATCGTTATTAATTGATATATATATCGGGGCGGAGGTATATGGAGAAATAGAATATTTTAATTCTAGAAATCTATATATTTATGAGAAGTTATTATTATTAGAGATCGGTTGATATATATATATATATATATGCATACACGTCATCCAAGATATAATCTAAAGATTTTCAAGATAGAATTAGATATCGGAGCTTGGATCGAGATAATTCGACCCCAATTTTATCGAGAGCGGTTAAACACTTTAAATTATCTTGGATTTGTATAGCAATCTTTTGCCTCTTGTGAGTAAAAAAGAAAAGATATAAAGATATTTCTTGCATTCAGCTAGAATAATTTATTTTAGATAAGTCGGGCTAAAATTTATATTCATTAGTTTTGATATTGAATTTATATATTCATTAATTCTAATATTGAATTATATTTCTCTTTTAAAATTTATATTTTTCGTGGGAGGGAGCTAGATTTATGGAAGAAATAGAATATATATTATTTTAAATGGGCTATATAATATCTAATATTTTAGAATATCTAATATTTTTGGAAAAATTATCTTCGAATTTTTAATTTCATTTATTTTGAAAAAATATATAAAATATTAAATTTCATAAAATATTTAGAGG